AGGACTTGTCTGAATGATGACTCGTCTGTATGTTGACTCGTCTGTATGTTGGATGACTCGTGTCTTTGCGTGTCAGATGCAGGACTTGTCTGAATGATGACTCGTCTGTTCGTTGGATGACTCGTGTCTTTGCGTGTCAGATGCAGGACTTGTCTGAATGATGACTCGTCTGTACATTGGATGACTCATGTCTTTGCGTGTCAGATGCAGGACTTGTCTGAATGATGACTCGTCTGTATGTTGACTCGTCTGTATGTTGGATGACTCGTGTCTTTGCGTGTCAGATGCAGGACTTGTCTAAATGATGACTCGTCTGTACGTTGGATGACTCGTCTGAATGATGACTCGTCTGAATGATGACTCGTCTGTATGTTGACTCGTCTGTACGTTGGATGACTCATCTGTACGTTGGATGACTCGTCTGTTCGTTGGATGACTCGTGTCTTTGCGTGTCAGATGCAGGACTTGTCTGAATGATGACTCGTCTGTATGTTGGATGACTCGTGTCTTTTGCGTGTCAGATGCAGGACTTGTCTGTATGATGACTCGTCTGTATGTTGACTCGTCTGTTCGTTGGATGACTCGTGTCTTTGCGTGTCAGATGCAGGACTTGTCTGAAGCTGAATTGGAGTCTCTGCTGAGGAACGACCTGCGACCTGTCATCAGACCCTTCAAAGGGAACAAGCTGATGCTGCGCTTCGCCACACAAGGTTTTATCTTGTCTTGTTACTCTCTGTACTGTGGAACCTGCTCACATGGTTCAGTAAAAACACAGTATGTGTACTTGTATGTACATATAAGTACATATATATAAGTACACGTATCAACAGACCATAATGCACTGCAGCACAGGAGGCTAACCAAGGCTAACTAAACATCTAAAATGTCTTTAAACATGTTCCTTCTGTCTGAGCTGCCATAATATAAATACTAAACTTTATTATATTATCATAAAGTTTATTTTAATTTAACATATTTAAACCTTAAACATGTTAGATATAAAATTAGCTACACCGGCTCACATGGACTTGAGCTGTGTAGTCAGATGTTTGTAGGTGGAGTTAATGTAGAGTTAGTAAATAACTGCTCTCTGTTACAGAAGATAAGAAGGAGCTGGGAGCGGCTCGGCGCAGCAGGTACTACATGAAGTATGGAAACCCAAACTACGGAGGCATGAAGGGAATCCTCAGTAACTCCTGGTCAGACTGAACTCCACTTCCTCTGTTTCAGACCTTAGCTCAGTGTTTACACTCAATGTTTACACTCAATGTTTTCGCTCAGTGTTTACACTCGTATACACTCATGTATACACTCAGTGTTTACGCTCATGTATACACTCATGTATACACTCATGTATACACTCATGTATACACTCAGTGTTTACGCTCATGTATACGCTCAGTGTTTACTTTCATGTATACGCTCGGTGTATACACTCGGTGTTTACGCTCAATGTATACGCTAAGCGTTTACGCTCAGTGTTTACGCTCGGTGTTTACACTCATTGTTTACGCTCATGTCAGGCAGTAAAACCTCTTCATCAGATCTATGATAGGTTTGCTGTATTTAAAGAGGAGGAAACGTTTTATTAATCATCAGACTTCCTGTTCTGTTCAGGAAGAGGAGGTATCACAACCGGCGCATCCAGAGAGACGTCATCAAGAGCAAGAAGCCTCTGATCGGAGACAGCATGGGACACACACCACCGTACACACACCGACACTCAGGTACTGTCTCAGTCTGAAGCAGGAAGCTGCCTAGCATCTGATTCTGTTACCCACAATGCTCTGCTTCTGCTCCCCCAGCTGACCTGGTCAACCTGCCCGAGGAGCCCATCAAGGAGGAAGAGGAGGAGGAAGAWGATGACGACGACAGATACGAGGACATGGACTCGGACGACAGGGTTGTGGAGTACAAAGAGAGGGGCGGCGGCCCGCGGACTGTGGGGGCGGGGCTTCGCAGCAGAGCGGAGCGCTCTCCATCTCCATGGTCAGAGTCTGATGAGATGGACTATGACCTGGAACTGAAGATGATCTCCACGCCTTCACCCAAGAAGAGCAAGAAGATGACAATGTATGCTGACGAGGTGGAGACTCACCTGAAGAGCATCCGGTTAGAGCCGCTCACCTGGTTACACTTGGTTACACCTGTTCATACCTGGTTACACCTGTTTGAAACCATTCCACTTCTGTTTTAAACCAGCCCAGGTCTGTTTGAAACCTGTTTAAAAACAGTCCACATCCGATTGAAACCAGTTTGAAACCAGTCCACATCCAATTGAAACCAGTCCCCATCATATTGAAACCAGTTTGAAACTGGTCCATATCCAATTGGAATCAGTCCCCATCAGATTGAAACCAGTTTGAAACCAGTTCTCATCCAATTGAAACCAGTCCACATCCAATTGAAACCAGTTTGAAACCAGTCCACATCCATTTGAAACCAGTCTGCACTTGATTGAAATCAGTTGGAAACCAGTACACATCCAATTGAAACCAGTACACATCCAATTGAAACCAGTACACATCCAATTGAAACCAGTACACATCCAATTGAAACCAGTTCACATCCAATTGAAACCAGTTCTCATCCAATTGAAACCAGTCCACACTCGATTGAAACCAGTCTACATCTGACTGAAATCAGTTGGAAACCAGTTCTCATCCAGTTGAAACCAGTTCTCATCCAATTGAAACCAGTTCTCATCCAATTGAAACCAGTCCACACTCGATTGAAACCAGTCTACATCTGACTGAAATCAGTTGGAAACCAGTTCTCATCCAGTTGAAACCAGTCCACATCCAGTTGAAACCAGTCCACATCCAGTTGAAACCAGTCCACATCCAGTTGAAACCAGTCTGAAACCGGTGTACATCCAATTAAAACCAGTCCACATCCATTTGAAACCAGTCTGCACTTGATTGAAGTCAGTTGGAAACCAGTACACATCCAGTTGAAACCAGT